ATGTAGATACCGAGCCTACACAAGTTCGGGAACAATCTACCAGTAGGGTCAATCGAGGAAAAGGCAAAGAAGTATAGGTGAGTGCATATGCATAGCATGATTATAGAAATATACTCCATTCTAGACTTGTGATAAGTCTAGATTTCATATCTTGGTACATGAGCATAGTCGGTATTATGAGACATGATATGAATTCATAAAAATTGCATTATATGACCTGACTCTATGGGAAAAGTTATGAGCTATGTGAAAAGGTAAGAATTTACATGTCTACGCGTTATAGACTACTTGAAATGTAAAAGCCCATGTTATGTAGATGAGAACTATAGGTATAGTTGGCATGCCAAGGGTAGAGGGTATACTCGGTTCTTTAGGACATATGTATATCCTTTGGAACCTGTGTGAAGTCTTGAAAGACACATACTTGATCCATAGTATATGTATATGATTCTTAAGGAATTCTATGTGGTCCTTATGGACATCATTATATGGCACTACGGTGCAATTCTACGGGCACTTCGGTGCAATTCTACGGGGCACTTCGGTGCATTTATACGAGCTGTGGTGACAGCATAGTGCACAACCTCACATTACTCAAATACCTTAGGTTCTCAATATGCTATCATGGGCCAATAAACTTATTAATACAGATTTATAAATGTTACAGTCATACGCTTACAGGTATGGGTATTGATGATGTATACTACATTGATTAAGTACATGTTTGCATTTCATCTCATATGATCATGACATTTTCATTACAATTGCCTTATTATTATTGCCTCACTAAGTCGATGACTTAGCGTGTGAGTGTTTCACACGTAGGATCCGAGGAAATAGACGAGACAGGTGAAGCAGCTTGACAGTATTACTCCTGCAACCATCAGATCAGAAGCAACTTAATCAGTAGGTCATTTTGTTATGTAAATGGCAGTTGGCATGTAATTAAAGGGTTAAGTTGTGTATGTTCTGAATATTTTGGTAAACTTATATTACAGTATGTATATTATGGTATTTTCGTAATATAAGATCAAATATTTTACTATTATTTATTAAGAGTTGTGTTTTAAAGTCAATGTAGTATCTCTGACTCATATCCGGGTCGGGTATGGGTTAGGGGTGTTACAGTTACCTATATTTATGAGTGGTTAGAGTGGGTAATTGTACAGTTAAAACTCTATAAATTAATAATGTCATGACCGGAGAAATTTATTAATTTAGAGAGTTATTAATTTATCGATAAATTAATAATTATTAATTTAAAGAGTTTTTAAGTAATTATACTGTACATACCAAATAAAAAGGCAAATTAGTCTATGCCTCTTAGAATTACGTTGCAAGAGATGAGTTAAATTAATAATGAGCTCCAAATAGACTTGAACTTTAAAGGAAAACAGACAACTATTGAATCATATTTCAATAGAGTGTAATATATTTTTTCAGTTTCTATGAATTATTAATTTATGATTTTCTTGGGACCGAAAATTATAAAGGGATCTCACGAAAAATTATTATCTTATTATTTTATCGAGTTTTTCAATTTTTTACATTGGCCCAAGTCGGGACCGGACAAATTTATTATTTTAGAGAATTTATTAATTTACCGAGTATTAATTTAAAGAGTTTCTACTGTAATTTGACAAATATACCTCTCTACTACTCCTTTAAAAGGGATAGTCACTCCCCATAATGAATATACACGATTGATGATTCCTTTCTTTTTTTTCTTCAAAAGTTCTTGTCGAAGAGAGCAACACAAGCATGTTTCACTTCCTCATTTTGGGTGTATAAAGTTTGGAAAGTTATGTTAACTTTGGGGGTGACGTCCACTTCTGGGATTACAATTTACACAAATCCAGATAAAATCAATTCTAAGACAGTGGTTTCTACCACGACACAATAATTTATATCATTTACTTTGTTTCTTTATTATTATTATTATGTGTGATAATCAATACTAGCTCTATTGTTTTACAAAAACCTTATTTTCTAATAACTTAAAATATTAAAAAAATAATTATAATTCTTCTGAGATAAACTGAAAAGATAGAGTCTATCTAAAATAACAATCACATAGGTCCATAAGAAAACATGGCATGTGGGTGCACCAAGTACGAGTAGAGTCGGGAATGTCTCATATATTTGGGTTATGTCTCGTTACTGTTCATTCTATCTCTTTTTGCGACGGTTCATGTACCCCAAAATATTTGCAATTTATGAGGAAACAATGGGAAAGGTCGATTTATAATGAGAAGTCCGAACATCTTACCCTGTCCAAACAAAACAACCTAATTTCCGGAAATTATTAAGATAAAGAATGTTGACCGAAAGCACATTTGCAACCATACATATTTAAAACTCTTTAGTTTTATACAGATTTAAAACCGTTGAATATATATATTCAGAATGAATGTTTAAAAGAATTATTACTCACTTAAAAGATTTATACTTCGATAAAATAATATTTTATAAAAGAAAATAATGTTGAAAATTTTTATCTCTTAAAACAAAACTATAACAGATTTGATTTACCCCCCCCAAGAAAATCAACTTGATTTTAAATTTAATCAAAATTATTGTTGTTGTATTTCTTCTAATTATTAGCTCTGCTAGCATCAAAGCCAAAGTACATATTTTACCTTTTATGTTTTTTTAATTCTGATTCATGTTCCCATAATTTCATTGACTGTTTGGTTTTACATTTATTAGTTTTATAATATTAAATAATAATTTAAAACTTTAACAGTAAGTTTTTTATTAACGGCATAATTTATCAGTTCTACACTTATAAATTGCACCTTGCCATAAACTTAAGTCTCCACACAAACCTCGAGATCAACATCGACACAGTACTGCTTAGTGCTTACTCGAAACATTGAGGCCATGGGAGAAACAATGGAGCTCACTTTCCCTGTTATCGATTTATCCAAAATCAACGGTGATGAGAGAGGAGCCACCATGGACATGATCAATGATGCTTGCGAGAATTGGGGTTTCTTTGAGGTACAAAACAAGCTCTAAGATGTGTGTTTTAAGACATTTATAATAATTCTTCTGAAACTTGAGTGTCTCTACTTTCTCTTTGAAAAGCTGATGAACCATGGAATATCCCATGAGCTGATGGACACCGTGGAGAAGCACACAAAGGAGCACTACACAAAGTGCATGGAGCAAAGGTTCAAAGAAATGGTGGCAAGACAGGGTCTTGATCAAGTAGCTGAATCCGAGATCAATGACATGGACTGGGAAAGCACTTTCTTCTTGCGCCACTTGCCGGAAACCAACATTAACGAAATCCCCGATCTCGAAGATGGTTACAGGTTAAAGGAATCAAATTCAAACCTTTTTTTCCATGTTGTTTTCAGTTATAAATAAACGGTGGTTGTTGCACAACAGGAAGGTGATGAAGCAATTCGCAGTGGAATTGGAGAAGCTGGCCGAGAAGTTTTTAGACTTGTTGTGTGAGAATCTTGGGTTGGAGCAAGGGTACTTGAAGAAAGTCTTCTATGGGTCCAGAGGACCAAACTTTGGTACCAAAGTCAGCAACTACCCTCCATGCCCTAAACCAGACCTGATCAAGGGACTAAGGGCACACACCGATGCCGGCGGAATCATATTACTTTTCCAAGACGCCAAAGTCAGCGGCCTCCAGCTCCTTAAGGACGATAACTGGATCGATGTTCCCCCGATGAAACACTCCATCGTCATCAACCTCGGCGACCAACTCGAGGTGATAACCAATGGAAAGTACAAGAGCGTGATGCACCGTGTGATTGCTCAAACGGATGGGAGCCGAATGTCCATTGCTTCCTTTTACAACCCCGGAGACGATGCTGTTATATATCCGGCACCGGCTTTGGTGGAAAAAGAAGCCGAGAAATCCAATGTGTACCCGAAATTCGTGTTTGAGGATTACATGAAGCTCTACGCCGGCCTGAAGTTCGAAGCCAAGGAGCCGAGGTTCGAGGCCATGAAGGCCATGGAATCGAATGTTAACTTGGGTGCTGCTGCAACTATTTGAGTCCTTAAATGACTGAAGACATGGTTTAACAGTATGTTTATGTTAATAAGTTATGTAGACCGTTGAATGTTGATGGATCTATCCTGTTAGAGTCTGGAGCTTAGTAGTTTGACTACGCTACGAAGAGTTCCTTTCTTATTATATGACTCCTTGTTGTGTTTAATACTCCTATATGAAACTAATAAAACTCCATGTCAGCGTTATGGAAACTTAAAGTAGCATAAGCAAACTCAAGCTAGCCTCACGTCGATCCCAGACAAGTTCTCTATCCAGTGGTAAACCCAAATCGATCTTTTTGCATAAGAAATCGACCCTTTTTATTCACTAAAGTTTTAGAATTTGTTCTCATGCAACATGCCGTAAGTGATTGATCATTCTCCAGAGATTGTTGACCATACATAAACATACTCGAATAATTTTAATATGTCAAAACACATTAGAATCATACTTCACAACATCGAATTCACAATTGAGTATACTTTGAGATCTAAAAGTCCAATTATACATGTAAAGTTAATTTTAAGGAACTCCGCTAGTTAAATTTGACATTTTAGGTCATTTACCTATTCTTGATCAACATAATTTCATTTCCATTTTATGAAAAATAATTTACGATGTGATTTTTCATAAAATTTTTTTAGAAATTTTCACTTGAATGCATAAATACTCAAAATAATATTATTTTATATATTTAATATTTTTTTGATTGAACTCCTGATTTCCGGTTCCATGAGATAATAGATTATATAAATTATTTTTCCATAAGAGTTGAGCCCATCGCCGAAGTCCAGGAAATGCAAGGAAGCAAGAGACGTTCTGCTCTCCAGAAAAACCCTACAAATAGAACCCTGAACGCCGCTCTGCTTTTCTCATTTCTTCACCTCTCTTGTGTGTATTCGATGGATGCTCTGCAGAATTCTTCTTTGCTTTTCAAATGGTTTTTATTCTTTAAACTAAGGGGAAAAATCCTCTGTTGGATTAAATGAATGAGGAGGCAGCTTTATGAGATTCGTCTCTTCATATAAGAACATCGAGGTATATCAAAATCAAAGGCCGAGATATCGTTTCAGCCGTCATTTTTTCCTCCATTGACGTTCTGCTTGTTCTTCGTCCACACCCCTTTTCTGGGTTTTTCTTTTTAAATTAACACATTGTTAAGTTTTAATTGTTCGCAATTAATTTTGTTTGTTCAAACTAACTTGATCTCCATCAATAATAAAACTAATGTAGGCCGGCCCTAGCCTAAGTTCATTTATTTTTTTCACTTTGATGAAACTTAGGTGAAAATATTGATTATTCTAGTTTCTAGTAGGGTGGAGCACTCTTAAACCCAATTCAAGTCAAAGGCGAGTGGAGGGATTTAATTTCTGGGTCGATTTTGGGTGGGCCAAAATTTTGACCCATAACCAACCATATATAAGTACTAACTTAGATTTTTGGCTGGATGATTGTGCATGAGGCATTGCCTGTTGGTTGATGATTATTTTTTGTCGGCATGTCCGATGGAATTTTTCGATTATGTGAATCGTCTGAAGAAACTGTTTTGCATGCTATTCGAGATTGTGCGAAGGCTTGGCTCATCCTCCATTATGCTGGTTATCACGACCGAGTGACTACTTCGTCTCTGCCTTCATGTGGCGCCTGACTGGAGGATATAATGTCCGTCTTGAATCCTCCTGTCTTTACAGAGCTATTGGTGCTACTTTGGGGTGTTTGGAAGCGTCTAAATATGTATATCCATGAAGGTCAATTGCTACCCTAATGGCACATCCTCACGAAGGGTGTTGCTTTGCTATCGTCGTACTTCGCTGCGTCGCAACAAGCTTCGCTACCTTCCCTCACTAGTGTAAACTACATGTTTAGTCCTCCAACTATCAGTTTTGTTTCGTTTTAATCAATCAATTAATTTTTGTTTCAAAATCATACCTAATGTTACATTTTGGTCACCCACGATTAAAAAAATAATGGTGATGTAGATGTGTCATTATAAAATAATACCATATCATCATTGTAAAAAATTTAAACAATGTCACACCAATAATTATGTTCATTTTTTTAACAATGGATGACCAAAATGAAACTAAAACTTAATGTTAGACATGATTTTAATAAAATAGCTGAGTGACCAAAACAAAATAAAAGTGCTAGTTGGAGTACTAAATGTGTAGTTTACCCAATAAATTATGTTTCCCCACACATCGTGTCATCTGCTCGTGTATATCATCCGGTGAAACCCGAAGTTAAATATTCCAATAATCTATCGTTTATAAAAAAGGGTAAAATATACAAATGATCTCCCGGCTATAGAATGAGATTTTATCGAGTTTCTCAACTATTAAAAGTTACAAAATAGTCACCTAACTATAGGATGTTGCTTTGTTGAGTCTTCGATTATTAAAAGTTACAAAATGATCACCTGACTATTCATATGTTCCAGATTCGTCATTTTTCGTTAAAAATTTGACGGTCGTCTGATTTGTATGTTAACATACTGACTGAGATATGAAAAAAATCACATTTTAATGATGTCTATTGACACTGTATTTGCTTTCAAGCATTAGTTTGATAACATAATGTTTCAATAACTGACTCGATAACATAATGTAAACCGATACTCGATCCACAAAATACAACTCTAACATTTTTTGAATCAAATTTTTATTACATCTCATTTATCATATTAACGTCGAGCTAAGACAATCTCCCATTTTTTAATGGAAAATGACAAATTTTGGAACATACAAATAGTCATGTGACTATTTAATAACTTTTAATAGTTGGGAGACTCAATAAAGCAATGTTTTATAATCGGGGGATCAATTTATAACTTTCAATAATCAAGAGACTCAACAAATCAATGTCGTATAATATAGAGATCATTTGTGTAGTTTACCCTTAAAAATTATTATTTTTTCATCCTTCGTAAATGCTTACCAAAAACAACCAACTCTTTCAATATCCACTAAAGCAGAGGTCCTTCTAGGTGGTGTGCCATATAGGCTTAATTCCACCAAATGTCTCAAACTATATGCTCAAATTTTGCACCAGCCCTTAAAATTCAAAATATTTTTCAAAGTATCGATACTGTATCAATCAATTTTTTTATTATTAGTGTTTTAAATATGTTATGTCATATTTGAGCTACCATTGTACACACGAGCTAATTGTTAGTCTAATTGAAGGATCTAATTGATACACTATTGATACTTTGAAATACATTTTAAATTTTAGGGATCAACGTAGAATTTGGGTAATATTTGGGACATTTTGTGGAATTAACCCATACTTTACAAGTTACAATCTTTAGCTTATACAATTTATATGAGAGACAGTGAGTTAAACCCTAAATTAGATTGTTATTATGATCAACTGAGATCATACTTATCCCCAAAAAGGAAGAAAAATAATACTGTTGAGGCAAAGATATGTCCTTACTAAAGGAACAAGACGACATGTCTGAAGCAAAGCTGGTGAGTTCATATGAAGATCATGGTCTGAAAATGGCTTAATTTATCAATGCAAAAACATTTTTTCCTGTTTTTTCATTGTTGAACTCTTGATCTTATGCTTGTTACAGCGCTCGCATGTTCTGAAATCCGGCGAGTGGGACGATGATGATCTACCGTTTAAGACATACTTTGAAAATGCTGGAAAAGAGAAGGCTGGCAAAATGATGAACCCCAACGACCCTAAGGAGAATCCAGAGGCGTTCATGTGCATAAGGGGAGTCCAGGAAGGTAACAATGATTGCCAGCACGATCACGTTCCGTTCACTTCCGGTTCGAGTAAGTCCGAATCGGCATACAAACACCGTCCGAGTAGTTCTAGCAGGAATGGTTCTATCGACCATCAAATGAGTGCAAGAAGGCAAAGGAACACAAGACCAGGATCCGGCAGTGAAATCAGCACCGGATCAGATCGTACGGTTAAGCATTTGAATCATCATCGACGTACGAGCTCGTGTCCAAAGAACGGTCGTTGCGGCGGAGGTAGCTTCTCTGGATCTATCTCAGGACAATCACAGTTAGATGGGAACTATGAATACAAAGTAAGTATTCTAACATCAACATATAATTATTACCCTTAAATTTTATGTATTCGTCGTCTAATATAAACTCATGTCTGTTCCTAATAAACAGCATCATAGAACAACATCGGTACCGAAATTCGGGGAATGGGACGAAACAGATCCCACATCGGGTGAAGGGTTTACAGTGATATTTAACAAAGTGAAAGAGGAGAAGCATGCACCCCCAGCTTCCAATTTTGCGACCGTGGCTCCTGAAGTAAAAACCATGAATTACTCCGATGGTCATCGCAGTAAATGTCCAACTCCTCCATGCGGATCAAAGCCTAAGGTAAATTTAATCCATGGATAAAGTAACTTTTCTTTTTCAATTTGGTATTTTAAATTTTATTATTTTCTTTAAACCCTTTTCTTTAATTTACTTATTCTGATTTTTGGTTGAGATGATTGCAGAGATGTTGCTGTTTATTTTGATGCACGTGAGACGTTAATATCCCACGTGCATCATATTTTCAATTTTCAAGTGAAAGTGACTAATAGGTTCGGGATTTGAGTTGGGTTTTTTTTTTTTTTTTAATTTGAGGAGTTAAAAGTCGAAAATTAAACAACAATCAGCCTATAATATGGGGACTCAAGGCGTCTCTAGCTAAAAGATCATGAAGATGTGATGATGACGAGTTGAGAGTTGAAATGTGGAAGGAGTTTGATGCGAGCATTTTTGCAATTGCATCTACGACTTTATTACAATAGAAAGATGATAAATTTTAATTTCTTATTTTTAACATCAAACTTGATCAATATTTTAACAAGTGCAAATTTGTTTGATTTAAACATTAATTTTTTATCATAATGTTACTTATATTACATGCCCACAAATAATTTTAAAATATAAAAATATTTCAAATTTTACTTATTTTTAAAGGTTAATGACCAAATTTAACAAAAAAGGGGAGCAAGGACCAAACTGACAAAAAACATAATCATTGAGAGCCAAATTTAGCATTAAACCGTGGGAAGAAGAGCATCCAATACACAATACAAGGGCACAACTTTACTATTTATACCATAATTATAAGCATAACCATCTACTTTATTAGCATTGCATTTCATAACATAAACCAAATACGTAAAAGCTTAGAAAATTCTTTTTTTTCAGAGAAAAAAACGCTTTACACAGCCTAAAATTTACTCTGCAACTTTATATACACTAAAACATGTTCAAATCTTCGCAACAATTTCCATATAGCTTCAACCAAACCAAAATCCTTACTTTTCCCCGGCACGCTGATTCAAAAGTAGATTATCCTTTGATTAGTATGCAGTTTCGGACTTCCTCTTTATGTGTTTATATGTCTTGACTTCTACCACATTTGCATGCATGCACTTGATCTTGCAGGCAATGGAAGATAAAGAGTTATAGTGGCATTGCGATACTTCAACCTTTTCCCATCCTTAGGTAGTAACTTAAGATCGATCGCGATGCATCTACACAGGGACAACATCAGCATTCTGATTCTCATCGCATGTCATGATAAGACCTTCGACATATGTTGGAAGGAGGCATCGATTCCATTGACATCCCGTTGAGATTGGTCCTGATGGTGGCACGATCATGAGCACATTATCATGGCGTCGAACAACCCCCATCACGCTTACGGTGCTCCCTTCTTTTATGTAACTGTCACAAAAAAGCACATGTCCCCTTATCAGCAATGAGCTAATTATATTCGAAGCTAAAGTCAACTAAATCGCACAAAGATACAATTGAAGTGCACAACAAATTAACATGAGACTACAATTAGAAGAGACAATAAATGGTGTACCCCTCCTTTAAGCGCATTATACGGTCATCACTAGAGATATTCCGTTCTGCTAGCCAGCTTAAAAAGCTTGGAGATAAGTCCTTGTTTTCTTTTGTTATGTCAACTGCAGTAGCCGGTTTGACAAATGGAGCAACCTTAGCTCCATAGCCCGCTTTTACCAGTGCTCTTAATCCAGATTGGAAATCTGATATGTAGAAATCGGCAACAAATTTCTGTTTACAACAAAAAAGTCAACTAAGAAAAATATACAGAAAAAGCAACATTTCTGAGTTTGCCAATCACGATCGATACAGATTCTGAAGATTATTCTAAGCCTAAACAAATACCTCAGAATGTCTACAACCCCAGGAGAAGTAGTGATGTTTAGGATTTGCAGATTTTCCACCCCATCCTCTATACTCGTACAATTCAGTGGAAACATATATGCATCTTGGCACCCTTTGGTAAGACGACTCCAATGGAATGCTACCACAGGTGACAACCTACAAAAAAATGAAAACACTCAAGGAACTTAGTACATAATCAACTCCAGGTTTTATCCTAGACGTCAAATGAAGACACCAACCAAAATAAAATACAAAATCTATAAGAACAAACGAATGGCAGATAGCACCGGAAGCCATAGCCTTCCAAGCAGTTCCCCCCACATGCAACGTTGTACCCTACCAGTGCATTTAGCATGTGAAGCATGCCAACTCATGAAAGCATCACCATGTGCACAAAACGTAACTCCTAATTAATGATAGATTCGAGCACCATGAATGCCAGGGGTGTGAGCGTTCAATGCCAAATGGTTGAGAGTTATCTCTGAACAGGTACAACTTTGTACTTACCCCATATTAATCAAAAAATAATAATATCGATAGAGTTACAGAAACCCAAGACCATAGATACACTATCTTCAGCAAATTCCCAAACTAGTTCACTCATGATGCAATACCAATACATCTTACAATCTGTCCCATAAAGATTTGTTTTTTTCCCGGCAAAGAACACGTATTCAACACCTTGTAGAGATTCCTTTCCAGTTATAGGAACAAGATCCTTCGTTTGCAGAACAACAACATAGATAGTGTTAAACACGCACATTTAGTATGCTGACCTAAAATCCTATCCTTAGTTAAACATCACTCAAAGGCAATCTACAAACTACCAATTGCAAACAAAAACAACGCAAACAAATAGCCAAGTAAACCCAGACATCAAAGCGTTAATTCATCTGGGATAATAAAGACAAGTAAGAGATTCCATATTAGACATTAATCTAAATGGAAACGAAAACGAAAAATCACCACATATCAATTAATGTGAATAATTTTTAAAGCTACCTCCAGTTTCCACAAATAGAAATACAAAATTAAACTAAAAAAATTTACCCCAGTAACTTTAACGTATCGGCCATCAACAGCACCTCTAAGCTCAGCATCTGGGTACCTCCTCATGTAACCCAACAAGCCTTTCCTTCCCCAAATACAATTCCAAACTAAGCCCAATCCCATGGGGACAACCACCGCGCCAACCGCTCCAAGAACCACCACTTTTTTCACGGCCACAATCAGAAACGCCCCCACCAACAAACCCATCACCACCACCACCATAACCACCCAAACCACAGCCTTAGAGACCCTAAACCCAAATCTCACCCCTTCCCCGAGACTAGTCACCCCGGGACCGTAACCTGCTTTCCCGGAAACACCACCCGTTTGCTCGACCGGACCGAGCTGCCCTGACCTCCTGGGACCGGATGAGCTGAGTGGACCCGAAGTGATGAGTCCGGTTGGCTGAAGCGGCATGGGACCCGACGATTTCCTGATCGTACCCGAGTTAGACCCGGATCGCATGGATCCACTGTTGGGCTGAGAAGAAGACGAAGCACGTGAAGGTTGCAGAAGTTGCGACTGCTGCTTCGAGTTGGGGTTCGAGTTGGGATTCGAAGAAGGACCACTAGACGAGGAACGATCAACCAACATTTTACCCAGCTCACCGGATTTCTTTATATCACCGCCGGTGTACGGCACCGCTCGTGACGACATTGTCGGTTGTCGCTCTTTTAGCTGCTCCGGCCTCCCCGAAACAAACAATCCATTTCTTAGCTGATGAGACTGAACCCGAGAACCCATTTCGGCCCTCCGTTTCTTCTATAACAAACAAAGAGAATTAAAAAGAGAGAAAAACAAGAGAGAAAATGGAGAATTTTTGGGTGGAAAAAGTTGCATAGAGAGTGCGCTGAGTGGAGAGTGTGGAGGTGAGAGTTTAGAGTAAGAATGGACTGGGGTACGAAATTACGGGAATGGGTCTCAAGGAATACCGTAATGACGAACGTGTCCTTTTTTGTGGGTTTTGATGATGGCGGTGCGCAGTTATTTGTTTGAGGTTTGGATGTGTCCCCATCCGATCACGTTTCGCCACAATACCACCGCCTTCCTCTCATGTAGCAGCTTCCGATGATTATCCATGGTAATTAATTAACGGAATTTACTGTTTCATATATCTAGGTACTTTATACTTTGGCTTAAAATAAAATTTAATTCTTAAATTACGTATCTTTTATGTTTCAAATTCCTAATTTTTTTAAATAAGACTTTAATTCTTATGTATAATATTTTAATTCTGGTCATTTTTTAATTATTAAGATGTTGATACATCACACAAAATTAAATATTTATTTTGATAAAAAAAATAGTTTAGGGACTGAAAATAAAAATATCATAATTTAAGGATTTATTTTATCTAAAAAATAATTTAAGAAATTAAGTGGCTATATATAATAATTTAAGAATTTGTTTTGACTAAAAATAATTGATGGACTTAAAGTAAAAAGAAAACATAATGTAAGTACTTATTTATAGTTTAAGCCTAATATCTTATTGGAAATACTTTGAACAATTAAATTTAAATTTTTTAAAATAATATTATAGACGATTGTCTGAAAGTGTCGACAATTTATTAGTTTAATTCATTTATAGGTTATAATATTGCTTACATGTATTTATTGTATTTTTGTCATCCAATATTTTTATTAAAAATAAAATATGTGGACTAAGTTTATTCCTACCTGGCATTTCCATTGACTTTTTCAGAGTTATATATATACCATAAATAATTTAAATCAGAGTTCATTATTCTAATCATTCAAAATTTTAAAATAAATTTAGCTGTAAAATTTAAATTATAGGATAAATGTTAAGATTACACACGAAGTCCGATCAAATATGTACTTGTAAATGCACAAACTAATTTATCTCAATGGTTAAAGAAACTGTTGTTATTTTTAAAGGTTACGGATTCGAACACCAGTGATTGTAAGAGTGATTAAACGTTTATTGTTAAATAGTAAAAAGTACTTAGAACATATATTATTTTTGTAATCACCTTTAACTTAATAAAAAAATGCAATTGTATACATAAAGTTTTGTTTTTTTAATTAAATTATATTATATGAAATTTTAATTTTAATATATTAGTACATATTTTAAGAATTAATATATCGATTTATTTCCATATTAGATTAATATCGTGATTATGATACACTACATGTAAATATAAAATAATGTTATGACAATAATGATTTTAGTAATTTATAAAAATTGAATCAAATAAAAACTTCATGTATATAATTATACAAAATTAAAATGTATATATAAATCACAT